TCTCACTTTGTCACCCTTGGTAGAGTGCCATGGCATCACAGCTCACAGCAACCTCCAGCTCTTGGGCTTAGGTGATTCTCTTGCCTCAGCCTCCTGAGCAGCTGGGACTACAGGTGCCTGCCACAGTGCCCGGCTACTTTTTTGTTGTTCTTGCAGTTTGGCCGGGTCGGATTTGAATCCACCATCCTCAGTATATGGAGCCGACGCCCTACTCATTGAGCCACACATGCTGTTCCAGAGTTGGTTTTTTTGAATCAGAATCCAAACAGGGTCCAGAAATTACATTTGATAAATAATCTATGTATTTTAGATCTATTGTAATTTATGAATACAATCCTTTCTTTTTTTTTTTTCAGTTTGTTGCCCTTAGTAGAGTTCTATGTCATCATAGCTCACAGCAAATTCAAATTCTTGAGATCAAGTGATCCTCTTGCCTCAGTCTCCTAAGTAGCTGGACTTACAGACACCTGCTACAATGCCAGCTATTTTTTAGAGACATGGTCTTGCTCTTTTTCAGACTGGTCTCACACTGAGCTCAGGGATCCACCTGCCTTGACCTCCCAAAGTGCTAGGATTACAGGGGTGAGCCACCAAGCCTGGCTGTTTTGTTGTTGTTGTTTGAGACAGAGTCTCATGCTGCCGTCCTAGGTAGAGTGCTGTGGTGTCACAGCTCACAGCAACCTCAAACTCTTGGGCTCAAGCAGTTCTCATGCTTTGCCTTGGCCTCTTAAGTAGCTGGGACTACAGGCACCTGCCACAATGCCAGTCTATTTTTTTGTTACAATTGTCATTGTTATTTTAGCTAGCCTGGGCCAGGTTTGAACTTGCCAGCCTCAGGGTATGTGGCTGGCCCCCTACCCACTGAGCTACTGGTGCCGCCCTTGTTTTTGTTTTTTTGAGACAAGGTCTCATTCAACTCTGTCGCTTGGGCTGGAATGCAGAGGCACAATCATAACTCACTATAATCTCAGATTCCTAGGCTCAAGAGATCCTCCTGCCTGAGCCTCCCAAGTAGCTGGGAGAACTATGTTTTTATTTATTTACTTTTTGAGACAGAGTCTCACTGTGTCACCCTGGGTAGAGTGCCGTGGCATCACAGCTCACAGCAACCTCAAACTCTTTGAGCTTAAGTAATTTTCTTGCCTCAGCCTCCCAAATAGCTGGGACTAAAGGCGCCCATCACAAGCCCAGCTATTTTTTGGTTGTAGTTGCCATTGTTGTTTGGCAGGCCCGGGCTGGATTTGAAGCCACCAGCTTCAGTATATGTGCCTGGCACCCTAGCTGCTGAGCTACAGGTGCCAAGCCAGAACCATATTTTTAAAATATAAGTTTTACCTCTAGTACCAGCTACTCAGGAGGCTGAGGCAAGAGAATTAGAGCAGTGGTTCTCAACCTTCCTAATGCCATGACCCTTTAATACAGTTCCTCATGTGGTATCCCCAACCATAAAATTATTTTCATTGCTACTTCATAACTGTAATTCTGCTACTGTTATGAATTGTAATGTAAATATCTCATATGCAGGATGTATTTAGGTGATAGGTGACCCCTGTGAAAGGGTTGTTCGACTCCCAAAGAGGTCATGATCCACAGGTTGAGAACCGCTG